ATGCCTATAGTTTAAAATACATAAAAAAATAGACAGTCTTTCTTGAAGCTTTTATTTTAGTTTTAATTCCAAGCTAATAGACTAAGTTTAATATTTTCAATAAGCAAAATACTTTACTGTATTTCAAGCCGAATTTAAATTGACTGGAATCATTTTTATGATTATCAATAAACTCGATAAATTCGTCCATATTGACAAAACTGTCAACACAACATAATTCTGCTTATTAAAAAAATGCTTTTTGAAACGCTATTTGAGAAATATTGGTTGATTTAAAGTTTAATTAATCTGAATTGAAACAAATATTACTTTTAGTTTAAAATATGGTAGAAAAGCATTTTTTAACATGAAAGTTGATGTTTTTTACGTGTTGAATACTGTATTGACAAGCTTAATGTTTGAAAAATTTAAGTAAGCAGGAGACAATGGAAATAAAATTACATGAAGAATACCAGGTAAACGGCATTTTATAAAATATTTTTAACTATCCAGCATTCTTTTATTAAATTTTGAGAACTTTGACTTTGTAACATGTTTGTTGAGCAAATGACAGAAAATTACCAATAAATTTTAAATTTACTATAGTTACCGCTCTTATTTTCTGACAATGTGCATGCACATCCATATTTACAAAACTCAACACGTTTATGCACACAAAATAAATTCAAAATTCTTTTAAAGGTTGTTGAAGTCTAGTGAATTTTTTTTTATTTATGATTAGTAAATAAAGTTTTATTTAATAGCAATATGATCCTATCGGTACAAATTAATACAGAACTGTAAATGATTTAAAAGTTTCTAAATTATTCTAATTAAAGAAAAGAAAAGAAAACAATTCTTGTAAAATTAGGTATTCATCGAAAACAAGTTTTTCTTAAGACAGTAGTATCCATAATATATTTTATTCATAAAAGATTAAAAGCTTTTCTAATTAAATAATATTTTGGTTGTATAGCATTTTTTTAATTTTACAATTTAGAGCAGATTTTCTATAACTAGGTGTCCTGTATGGCCAAAAAGATTTGATGATTTAAAATCTCCGAGGACTTGCCCTTAAAACTAATATTCTTTTAAATTAATTCTACAAAAAAAAAAAAAAGAAAAAATTATTCAAATTTCATAAAATTAAATAAGTGGGATAACAAATATAAAAAAATATTATAAAAATGTTCTAAAAGGGACCATTTAAAAATAATTTAATTAATTTCTGAATGATTTCTGAAAGTTTTATTAAAATCTGACAAATACCAGATATTTGCAAAAATTTCCAAATCAATGTGTTTTTCAACGCAAAAATAAGAACAAATATCCCGTACTTATTTATGATCCCATAATGACACCAGAAAAACAAAATTCTTAACTAAAATTTTTCAAGGCTCTGATAAAAAAATAGCACATAAAAAATCCTTTGATCTTTTATCTTAATGATAACAGAAAAGTTTTGACGGTAAAATCTTATTTTTATTATATTTTGCGAATTTTTTCTTCATGTATCCTCTCTTTTAGGGAATTTTTGGCGGTACCTACACACGCACACACGCACACATACGCACACACAAACACACACACACACACACACATATATATATATATATATATATATATATATATATATATATATATATATATATATAGATAGATAGATAGACGACTCGTGGATTTTTATTTAGACACATATATATTAAAAGGCCTCTAGCTTTTTACTTGTGCACATATGTATAAGAAGATACATGTGTTTTTATTTCTGTGCATATATAAAGGGCTGCACAAACATAAATCGTTTTCCGGATTTTTACCTATGTACAAAACGTTTCCCGTAGTATTATTTTATTTTATCTTATTTTACTTATGTATAAAATTCATTGATTTTTAGTTGTGCACATCCATTGTGAAAGCTTGTGTGTTTCTAGTTGTGTACATATATGTTAAAGAAAGTGCCTTAGTTCGTCTTGTGCTTTCGTGTGTTTTTATCCTTTTAAGGATTCGGAGATTTTTTTAGATGTTCACGTATGTATAAATATTTAGTGGTTCTGTTGTATATAAAAAGGCTTATAGGTTTTAGTTGTGCCCAATTTTATAAAAAGACAACTGAATTTTATTAGTCGCTTTAGACATAAAAAGTCACGCGGATTTTTAATAACGAACATGTGTATAAAAAGGCTCCATGATTTTCTTAGCTTTGCGCACATGCAGAAGAATGTTTGCGCGGTTCTAGTTAATTACATAATGTATAAAATCCAAAGAGATTTTTGATGTAAAGAAAACTCATTAAAAGGTGGATTTTTTAGTTCGACTAAGTTTGTATAAAAGGCCTATGATATATATATATATATATATATATATATATATATATATATATATATATATATATATATATATATATATATATATAGTATATTTGTGTTATATAACTGTGTTCATCTGTGCAAGAATGCTTGTTTTTTTTTATTTTGCATATATATATAACACAAAATGCCGTTACTGAATAAGTGAATGAATGATATCTGTATAATAATACACGTATATTTTTACTTGGGCACACGTATATAATAAAGCTCTAGGCGTTTTAATTACGAAAAAAAAATGTATAAATAGGTTCGTGAATTGTTAGATGTGCCCACGTGCATAAAATGTTATGCTAATATATACGGAAAACTTTATTAGATTCTTACCAGGCGCGTTTGTTTTAGTTGTGCACTTATACAAGGAAAGCTTCAGGGGTTTTATCTCGACTCACACACGCACTTACACGCGGATATACGTGGTGTGTTACTTTGGCCTAACTGACAAAGATAAATTTAGTGTTCGTTTTTCTTCACCTAGTGTTTGCTCAATGGCACACGAAGAGTACGTCGAACAAAAGATAGTAGGAAAATTCGTACTACCTACAATGTCTATATACTGTTCAATTTGCATATAAAAAAAATCTGTATCATTTCAAATAGACACATGTATTTGCATATATGAGGTTTATGTGAAAGTTACACAATACTTGTCACAAATGATGCCATTATTTAATAAGTATCAGAACATCTCTATGCTTTGCTTGTGATAAAAGTGTCGCACTCCGTCTCTTTCACTACGTTCAAGGCAGTAATGTCTATGCGTTCTGCGAAACGCGCGTGCCCGAGCGCACGCGCGCGCGCACACACACGCATATATATATGGATACACATTGCGTTTATTTTTGTAGATGGCTAAGTTAGGTGATTTGTTTAACGGCATATCAATTTCTTATGGGTCATTTAATACCGAAATTTAATTTTCTTGGGAGCTTTGAAGTAATAAAAAAATGATATGTTATTCTGCCTTCACAAGTGAATACATGGTAGATGATACTCAAGTTTTCTGCATATACAAGTTTGTGTGGACATTAACTCACTATTTGCGCATAGCTGGAACCCTAACAGATGCTACCACCTCGGGTTAGGGTAGGACTGTGAACAACAGCAATTAAGAAGTGGTTTCCTGCTCATCAAAACCTCCAATCTCCTGACCAGAGGCTTTGCTGCCATATATAGTTTATCATCATACCCAGAACTCGTAGATGGCTAAATTTCAATATTCTGAAGTGACTTGAATGATTCAAATAATTTATAGAACTGATATTGAGTTTTTATGTATTCGTTGTTAGTGAATAAAATGACGAGCATTCATGAAATTGCTCGATTTAGAATCGGGTAATTTCGTTCAGATGATATGAATTTTGAAAAAAAAAAATCTTACCGAAACAAGCCTTATTTTAAAAAATAAAAATCGCTACTTTAATTAATATAATATAATATTTAGAAAATCAGAAAACAAAACAAGTACTGACTTGTTTGACAGAACGAAATATCTCAGTAAATTAAGTACACCTGTAAATGCATACACTGTACATCTGAAGATGTCTGTAGAGCAGACCGGTCGAAACGTTATGATAACAACAAAAACAACAAAAAGTATGCGTTTAAAAGTTTGAACAGTTCAATATTTCTAGTAGCCGTAAAAAGACACGACATTAATGGATATTTTGTTATTAAATTCTTGCAAATCTTTAAATATATTTTTGAATTATCGTTGATGTATTCTACTCTGCTACGGAATCATTTTTCAGCAACGACTTCTATTCTTATAACTAAGATATGACAACCTAGCGTCGCCAGCGCACGGGAGATAATTCTAAAGCTTATAATATTTAGTTGTCTCCCTTTAAGAAAAATGTTACAGACAAAGATATGCAAATCACAAATAAAGGTTATATATATATATATATATATATATATATATATATATATATATATATATATATATATGACAAAATACAATTAATTAATAATAAAGATATGCTATATTTATGGGGTAAAATGCTCAGTAGATTATTAAAAGATTATAATTATTAAAGTGGACATTGAAGTCAACACCCGGAGGCGACAGTCAGTTCATTGCTTTTAGCATGAAACAGAGCGTCGCCTCTGGGTGTTGACTTCAATGTCCACTTTTATATTTATATATGTATACACGAAGATGATGTTGCATTAGCTCAAAACAAAATAAAGTTTTTTTTTGTTTTTAGGTAATAATTACAAATTTTCTTTTACAAGACATTAGATATCCATACGCCGCGTTCGTAAACGTGGCTTGTTGCCACTGTTGAAACGCATTACTCACGGACTAACTGTGATCACATCCACTGTTTGATCTTCATAAACCACAAACATTCAGCTACCGACGATGAGTATCAATGAGTGATTTTTTGTTTCCCCCGCATGGAAGAATTCAATAGCACACCTCTATTCTGTACGCACATTAGTGTTAGATGACATTTTGCCAAACTGCTGCTCAATTACTATCTGTAAGAAGGCCAAAAAAATGGAGGTATTTGTAGGAATGCTCAGACACTACTGCCATACCACAAACATCCACCCCTGAGCGACCCTCGTATATACACAATCTCTATGTTCATTCACGTGTGACAGATATTTACAAAATTTATGTGAGTCTGGTATAATGTTCACAATATGTGGGTATCTAGGATTTTTCTGGTGTCACTTGTGAATGATTTGCGTGACGACTATGATAACCACCTCTATACGGTTGGTAAACATACGTACATGAATAATATAATAAAGAAATTTTACATATATATATATATATGTGTGTGTGTGTATTGTTTAAAATTTGCTATTTTTATGCAGGAAAATTGTTCAATATCGGAGATCGTTTATAGTTATAGACAGTGTAGTCTATGGTGACTTATATTTCACGTTTCTTTGTGATATTCAGACCTTTAATGCATGAAACTGACAAGCACCATGCAGTGTTGATTCCTATGTCTACTTTCTCTGTCTCTGTCTCTCTCTCTCTCTATATATATATAATGTCTACGATTATTTTTTCTTTTCTTTCTATCGTCAGAATTTTTTTGTTTTTTCACTAATAATACTTAATATTAAGAGTTGATGAAAGTTTGGATGCGTGGGTTGACAAAAAAAAATTTCTCCTACCTTGGCATTAGGAGTGTTTAGTTTTAGCTAACTAAAAAAATCGCTTTTGATTGTAGTGCAACGCTTTCTGGATCAGTGTTCATTTTCTTTTAAAGAAATTCAGTTAAAATTTGGTTATTTTTTTATTTATTGAAAGATATAAGAAAATATTGTTTTTTAGTATACACTTTTGTGTCAAATTCAAATGCAGCCCGGAAATGTCATGTCGGTGGACATTTTTCAAATTAGATGATAAGTGTGTCAGTTAAAATAAACGTTCCGCTGGGTAATGTTGATTCCTGAAACAAGATAATCGTGATGCGAATATTTGAAATTTGAAGGATTTGAAAAATTATAAATAGCAAATAAGCACCGTGTCGAGGTGGGGGTGTGAAGGGAATAATATAATCGTACCGGTACTTGTACTGATTACACAGGTCTACCCTCCACCGAAAAATAAACAAAACAAAAAAAAACAAAAACTAAGAAATGTATTAAGAAACAGAACATTTCGCTCAAAACAACAACAACAAAAACAAATAAAATAAATAAAAAAAAAAAACAAAAAACAAAAAGGCCGTTTCATTGAGATGGATTATATATGAGGGTGTTTCATTAAGACGGATCAAAGCCATCAGTAAATAAATCAGTGTTAATGGTGAACATTTATTTATTTCTTTATTGGATCATGTCACTTAATTCATGGCAATTAAGTGTGAAAAATAATATCGCCCAAATGTCCGCCAAATCTAAAAGAAAAAAAATCATTAAATGCTTAAACTTAATTCACATTAAAATCGAACACACTTTATTATGTAATATCGGCCCTTCCTTATAACATTTACACTTAGAATCAGAAAGACGCAACTGAAATTTCAAGAAAATAGGACTTGGAGAATTTGATATTCACAGGACATATTGAAAGCAAGAGAAGCAGTGAATAACCTACCTAACAAGTTCGTGTAATTGGTTGGCATGGATTAGGAAAGATAGCAAAACGAAAAATAACCTTACTAAGTGCTACAAAGGACCAGATGTTGTGGAGTGTCATGATCACCTACGTCCTGAAAAACATATAAAAGAAGCCGTCTTAAGGTTCTGTCATATTCGAAAAATGTCCTTAGCTATCTCGGCAGATAAACCAAAGCTAGGAAAAGTGATGAATAAAAACGATGATTCTAATGATGGATTTTCTTCACTGAATGAAATGATTGAAATTTTTTTAGCGTTGTAAAAATAACGTTAATTGCTCAATAGTCCAGGAAGATTCGAGTGTGGTTCATCTGGCCTGCTTTATCCTCTGTCTATCTTATACTGTGAATGTTAGTTTTGCAGATCTTGTAAGATTGGTATTAAATGGATGTCCTATTGCTGCTATGTCATTAGAGATTCTTGATAAAATTCAAAGAATCTGCTATGCTATCGCTTATCGCATGTTGGCCTCAGTATCTTTCCCAATATTCAGATAAGCCTTCCTCTTTGGTACCTGGACTTTACAAATTTAAGCGCAGTACTAGATTGGCAGCTAGGTTTCATCATTTTACAGTTGAAACGGGTAGATGTAACCGTAAATTCTATGCTAAAAGTTTCTCCTCCCGCACTTCCCGCTTGTTGAACTCTCCCCTGGTATCTTGCTTTTCAGTTAACTTTGATCTTCAAAAATTTAAATGCAATATCAATCGTTATGATTTGTCTTCTTAATTCCTCTTCTTTTATTGTTCTCATCAATAATGTTTTTCTTTTTCGCATATTCTTTTACACTCTGTCACCCATTGCGTCTTAGTGATTTTATTGCTTTACTTGGGGTGAAATGATTAAAAAACCAATTGCAATGACATCATGGAAGAAAAAAGCAATTGCTTATTATAAGATGTGCTATGAAAATCTTTTAAAAATAAGCAAACATTTTCCAGGAAATATCTTCCTTTTTCCAGGGCCGGATTAAGCTAGTGCGGCGTCTGAAGTATATGTTATAAAGGCGCATGCAATTAAAAAACAAAAAACAAAAAAAATACATATGCATAAATATTAAGTCATAAATTATAGCAGTAAAGTGATGGAGCTTATAAAAAAAGCTTAAATATTTAACTTCCATCAACGTGATAAACAAACCCAGAAAATATCAGGAAAATTATTCTAACGAGATATGTGAGTAGATTTTAATGGCCTGGAAATAAAGTTACTTTAAATTCTGAATATTTAAAGATACATCTCAGCCGACATGTAAATATTAACATTGCCAGATCATAAGATGTCGATTCCGTCAGACAATGCGTGGCCCTCGAAAATGTGGGGACCCACAGCATTTGTTACGAGGTTCATTCGGCACCTTTTTTTTTTTTTAAGTAGTGAAATCAATCGCGGTGTTTTTATTCAAGTTACTTGTCAGAACTTTTCAATGTCTTGTAAATTTACCAATTGCCTGTGCATTGAATAATGCTGCCACATGTGATCTGGTGCTCTTACTATATATCTTGAGATTCTTGACATAATTCAAAGAAGGGTTTGTAATATAATCAACCCTGATTTGGCATCTCGACTTCAGTCAATTTCTCACCGACATCGTGTGACTTCGCTTTGTCTTTTCTACAAATATTTTCATGGCAATTGTTCTGATGGGCTTTTCTCCTTGGTGATTCAATTGCATGTATCTAAGCGTACTACTAGATTGGCAACTAGCTCTCACCGTTTTAATGTTGAACTACCTAGATGCAACCGTATTTTTTTTATTTAAATAATGATTTTTTCTCGCATTTTTCATTTATAGAACTCTCTTCCAATTTCTTCCGTCCATTCAATTTTGATCTTCAAAAATTTAAATACAATATCAATCGTTATCCTTTGTCTCCTTAATTTTTGTTCTTTTATTATCCTTTTCCCCCACTTCTCCTCAGTAAAGTTTTCTAATTATCTTTCACTCCCAGTATCTTTTTACGCCCTCGTGGCATTATTGCTATGCTTGGGGTGAAACGATTTTTAAACAAGTACTGAGTTTATTACAATTTTCGCTCTTTGATTAATTTGCTATAAAATGAACAGCTGGTGTCTAAACTATAGCCAAACGTGCAACTTGTTAGATTTACTACAAGGATTAAATTTTACTAACACACTTTGCTTTTATCCTTCGTATTATTTTTGTAATTATTTTTATACCTCTTGAATGAGTTAAACTACCTCGCCTCTCCTAAGAGATATAATGATTTTCCGAGGATTATCCTATTAATGACAAATACTTTCATCAGGATTTTTTTTTGTTCGCTAATTTCTTTAGAAAATTAAAGTCATTTATTTGAAATGCTTTTTAATTAGAACTATCGGAAATAGCATTTTAGATCTGCTAAGTAATCTACTTGAACAACTTTACAAGTTTGTATTAATGAGTGCGACACGTCAATTCCACTCTCTTGGTGATCATTGGGGTACACACCTGCTGAAAATATGCTCTTTAGCAGGTGACAGGTGGGTGAAGCTGAACAAGCAAACCTACAATGGAGAAGGAAAAAAATCCATGATAAACACGATAAAGAGTAAAAACGCGAGCTTGGTAGTTTCATGATGGAGGTTGAACGGCATTTTGGAAAAACTGAATCCCTCCCTCTACGCAATTATCTCTCCCTCTCTCTGTTTCTGTTTCACTCTTTTCTTTCTCTCTCTCTTTTCTCAGTCCCTCTCTTCTTTCTCTCTTTGGATCAATAACTCCGTAGCCGTACACATAATAATCAGTTTCTTTATTTTGTCTCTTTCTCTTTTTTGTCTCTCTCTCTCTCTCTTTCTCTCTCTCTTCGTCTGTTCATATCTACGAGAGTGGATCAATAATTCCATAGCCGTACACATAATAATCAGTATTTTTCCCTGGCTTTCTTTCTCTCTCTCTCTCTCTCTCTCTCTCTTTCTTCTCTCTCTCTCTTTCTTTTCGTCTGTTCATATTTACGAGAATGGATCAATAATTCTGTAGCCGCACATAGTAATCGTTTTTGCTTTCTCTTCCCCCTCTCCTCTCTCTCTCCCTCTCAGTCTGATCATATCGACTAAGATGGATCAATAATTCTGTATCAGTATACATAGTTATCAGTTAAAATTATCACAATTTCATGTTCGATCTATGTGATTAAAATTCACTGTTGAATGAAATGGATTGACAAAAAAGGAAATTATATTGCAAAATAAATATTTGTTGTGTAAAATGAATGCTTTTTTAAAATCATTATTAGGCCACGGACTTATTGATACGCCTGTCTATATTTCCCGATTTTTTCGGATTGGTATTTTTAACCCTTGTCTTATCATTATCTTTCGGCCAGTATGTTTTTGGGGTCTTTTCCAGGCGGACAAATCATTCGGTATCATGGGGGTCCTATGATAATTCTAGATCTGGGCTTCATGGATTCCCGCCGGCAGTGTTAATATAGTGTGAATCTGTAAGTACTTAGCAACAAGTGATCAGAACATATACACAGAGAGAAATAATGGAATGAAAGAAAGTACTTATAAAAACAAGATAAAATACATCATAACAACTTGTTTTTGATCAAAACGATGAGAAGAAGCGATTAAATGTATGAATTACGACGCCAAATCATTTCCATTGTATTTCTAAATAATCTGAGTATCTTTTCTCGTTAACCACGTCAGGTAGCAAATAATTTATTGCTGTTCACACAATGAGACATCTGGCAAAGCACTTTGGGGTATCATAAATATCAGACCCCCGATTCTTTTCAAATCAGTCTCACACAGATATGGCGCATATTAACGCTTACCACACACACACCTTACAAAAGCGATGAAAATCAGAAAATAATGTGAAAAGAAAGAAAGAAAAAATGAATTCAGAGTAACAAGATTTCACTTGAATAGCAGCTATATTTCGCTGAATTTCCTTTTTTTATAAATTGCTTGTAGAAGTGTGTGAAGAAGTGAAATGGCGTAACGGTTATCAAAACAAAACCAGCGACCCGAGTTCGAAATGTAGCTGAAGCTGCTTATATTCACTTCGCTTTACAAACAGATTAATTGATTTGTATTTTTTATGGTTTATCAATTCTTTGCCGATTATTATATACAAAATATATTTTGGATTGTAAGAATAATTCGTTTTTTTGTTGCGAGATAATATTGCTTTAACACTTTTTAGAAGACAACAGTGATTTTTCTAGATAAAAGTCCTACTATTTAACCCATAACTGGAGGAGAAAAAGTGTATTGATACCTATGCCAAGGGTATTTGCGCTTAAGTGAATGTAAAGAACTTGATTGCATCACTCGAGACGACTCTTTGAACATATTAGTTTGTTTGGTGAGTGAGATAGTTGAGTATTTCTCGCTGGCTTCGTTATCTAGTTCCCTTAAAAAAAAAATTAAATATTTGAAACATATAAGCCCCTATCTATGGGTTAAATAGCTGAGAAGCGACCAGTTCAGGAGAAGGATAACTCTGAACACAGATAATAAAGAAAATGAATCTCTTGGGAACCATGATCCCCCCACGGGCTAAAGGGATATGGTTTTAAAAATAAGACACATTTCCTGTTTGTGTAAAAATTGCAACACTGTATTTCTATTTTTGTTTTAGCCTTGTGCCATACTTAGGTAAGCTTTGTAAATACCATGAAATACCAAACCAAAGGTTTGAAACCTTGAAAGCTAACTATCAAGACAAGGAAATAAATAAAGGCTGAGGGGGTGAGTCACTAAATGATTTATTCAACTCTGTTGCAGGTTTTTTTTCTTTTTCTCATTCATTTTTTTTTTCTTTTTTTTTTGTCTAGCCCTTGCGTTTCCGTAATATTTCAACTTGACGAACACCAGGATATCTAACCAGTAAAAACATGAAATATCTAAAGGCACTGAAAAGTGAGGGAGTTAAGCATTTAGCCCATTTTTTTTCTTGTTCATTTCCTGATTGGATACATATATATTTTGTTTATAAATTACTAGAATTTATTTGTAATTTGTAAGATTGGCACAAGATCACATTTTTGAAGCGCCCACTAAATATTAGCTAATCATTGTTTTTTTTTTTTTTTTTTTTTTTTTTCTGAGAGCATTAGACACCCATCAGCGGTAAGCGACTATTCTTGGAATATTTTTATTTACATTAATTTTTATTTACCATAATTTTCAGTTAACTGCGTGAAGTTGGTTAATACTAACTTCACACAGTTAATTGAAAATTAGTATTTTTGCTACCAAGTAGGAACACACCAAAAATGAAACCAAACTAAGATATTTAACAGAAAAACAAGTAATTAATATAATTATAATATAATATATATTAATTTTTAAACGGACATTATAATTATAAATCTATTTAACTCTGATATTATTTATTACTAGACAATATTTTAGTGGGAGCACGCGTTTGAGTGACTATTCTTGTTTTTGTTTATTTTTCTTAAACAGTGAAATTAATATCAACCGGCCTAGATCGAGAAGTCCAACTAAAGAACACTGTACCTCTCTACAGGAATCAAATCTCTATCATGTTTAGGGTAATAAGAGATAATGTCAGATTAAAAAAAAAAAAAAACTGCTTAAAAATTGCTGTTGTTAACGTTTCGAGTACGAAACTGAAGTTAGCAGATAAAGACTCGTACATGTTCCAACTGGTCCAATAGGTCATTCAAACCTTGCTTTTCAAGGTGATATCCCATGGCCAAATTGATAACGCCAGGCTTCTGCTATAGGAGTGGCTTTCCTGATGGGATACAGATTTTATTCCTGTCAGAAGGTACAGTTTTTATTTATTGGACTTCTCGATCTAGGCCGGTTGTTATTAATTTCACTTGTTAAGAAAAAAAATAACAACAAAAATCAAGAACACGGATAGTAATAGAAGCACGTGTACCGAATAAAAATTAAGTTTTATATATATATATATATATATATATATATATATATATATATATATATATACACACACACTAAGAAAGTTGGTTCATTATGTCGTGTTAGAAAATTTTTCTCTTCAGAATTTATTTTACATATCTATAATACTAGCATTTGTCCATGCTTCTATTATATATGGTCTGGTGCTTCTGCTATATATCTAGAGATCCTTGATAAAATCCAAAGAAGAATCAGCAATATTATTGGTCCTGATCTGTTGTCTCGGCTTCGGTCACTTTCCCACCGGCGTAAAGTTGCCTCCATGTGCCTATTCTATAAATACTTTCATGGCAACAGTTCGGTTGCGCTCTTCTCTATGGTTCCTAGACTTTATGAATTTAACCGCAGTACGAGACTGAAGACGAGTTCTTGCCAATTTATAGTCGAGTTGGCTACATGTAACCGTACGTTCTATGCTAACAATTTATTTTCGCGCACTTCTCGCTTGTGAAACTCTCTCTCTCTCCCGCTCTATGCTTTCCATTCAAATTTAATCTTCGAAAATTTAAATGCAATGCCAATGGCTATCTACTGCCCTCCTGATTACTCTTCTTTTGTTCTCGCTCTTTAGTAATGTTTCTGTTTTCTATTTCTTCCACGCCCCTTGAGTCTTAGTGGCTTTACTACCTTCCTTGAGATGAACTCGATTAATCTTTCTCTCTCTCTCTCTCTCTCTCTCTCTCTCTATATATATATATATATATATATATATATATATAAATTGTATATATGTTCAACTTAGAATAAAAATCACTCTAATCCTTGACAATAGCGCCAATGCAGTCTCGGAAGTGACTGACTTTATGATAGGATCAGGTCAGTCTCGTTCAATGATGGCGCTTTCCAACGAGTCCTATACATTGCTCGCTGATTAGGCCCCCTTTTGATGATGTCCAAGATGTAGTAATCCAGGGTATTTAAATCAAGAGAGCTCCAAGGCCAGCTATTCCTGACTGAGCAAAGATTTGCTGGAAAACTTACGGTCACCCATTTTACCCAGGGCTTAACCAGCATGTCCAGCACCACGATAGGAGTGGCAACATTGACTGAGCCCCTACAGGAAGAAGTACAGTGACGCGACATGGTCCGTATTATTTACGGCATCCAATACCACAAGAGATGACAGGAATTTGGTGGGAAACACTATCGGTACATTAGGGGGTTCTGTGCAGAACCACTTGTTCTTCCTGTTCACTTAATCGCTTTCAATAAGCTCACTATACTCGAGTCGGTGTGGTTGAATGCTAGTGCTATGGGCACGTCGTATCTTTTCTTTTTTTATGTTGGACTGGAAGGTGACGATAAAACTGAAATGACAATGTTAAAATTTGGCGCATGCTGCGTAACATCACGTTAGGTCGTCTTCCATTTATGGACCACTAAATATGTGTTCTCAAATAGCTGTCGTATCTTGTACTTTCTTTATTATGAATAAATATTCTGTAGTAAATCACCAAAAGATGACAAGAAGGCGGGTTGAATCAACTGACTCTTTTGAATCATGTGAAATCAACTGATATCAAATATATCCCGATTCATTGGGGTGTATCAGAAGTAGTTTTGTTTTCTAACCTCTTCAGAACTGCTATATATTTGTAAGCTTATGTAACGCTCTAAATACAGTAACGATTTATAAAAATGGAATATTCCGTTTTTTTGGCGAATAATTTTCATATTTCTTGCTCGAATTCCTATAAAACTGGACAGTTTACTCTCAAAGGAATATCAATCCGATATACGAAAACAATCTAGTCGTATTTCACTAACAAACCATGTTTTCTTTGAAATGGGATATTTTTCGATATTTGAAGATTGTTATAGCTAGTAACAAAATGACAGAAAGGTTTAATGAACGCAAGATTGAAGAACTATGTTACTTTGATAATTTGTTGTACCACATTTTGTATTTAATATTTTTTATTTGTGGTGGGAGTGAACTGATTAACTTATGACAATGCTCCCATGCCATCTCTCATGATGATTTCTCTTCAATTTACTATTGGATTTGCATCTGGACTATTTGCAGACCAA